CCATTTCACCCATCCTTGCCGCTGATCAACCTTCTTTGGTCATCCGTCGCATCCAACTCTACCACTATCAGAACCAGCGTAGTCTGGCGACCCGATCCCGACCTTTAATTTATCTGAGTCGATTATCGTTCACCGCGTACAAGAAAGGAACCCATTCGGCTGCCCATCGTCTTTCCTCGGCCATCGCTCATCGGTGGGATTCACCACCCCACAAGTCAAAGCACCACCTCAGCCCGATAAAAACCCTATGGTTGATCATTGATAGCCGCCTTCGTTCACCGTGGAAATCTCACCAAAGCACCGCTAAAAACCCACCCTGCCTCTTTGATCTTTCCTCAATTCTGCCCGCCTCAATTGTCAGTACGCCTCACTACCACCCTAGATAGGTTCCCCATGTCATTTTGGTCAAGACCCAATCGATAGGTCACGTTGACGTCACCGTCATTACCGTCGATGTAAGCTTTTTAGACTTTTTAAGTTCATTCTCATGGATTTTAGTTGAAAAATTTGTTGTTGTGGATTGATTTGGGTTAGTTGTTGCAGTTCGACCGTCGCGTGTGCATGGGGCATCCTCAGTAAAAATTATTCTATAATCGATTCGAGTCAACTCAGACCGAACTGAGTCAACCTGAACCAGTCTGACCCGTTGACTTTGACCCGAACTGTTGATATGCTCATTGACCTTTGACCATATGTTAACTTTAACTTTCCATTGATCAGTTTTGTCATTGACTTTGACCAAAGAGTCAAAATTTTTGAAAAGTAATATTTTATGTTTTTTTGACGTCTTGAGTCTGAAACTAAAGTTTGTTTTGCCAAATTCTAACCCGAAAGTCTTCAAATTGACCTGTAAACCAGAATATGCATATGTAATTTAAGTAATTTATTTAAGTGATTTAATTAAGTGCATTTAATTAGATTTAAGGGTCAAGGACTAATTTATGTTATCATATATTAAGGTACTCGTGTTTCCCGACCTTTCATCTGCTTGGCCTAGTTCATCCTAATCCACTTGTCTACGAGAGCCTGTGATTACTCGTATTCTATAACCCTGTTAGATACTCAGTTTAGTATACTACTCCGATAATAATTCTATTAATATGACCTAAGTTCGTGTACCGCTGGAGCATAGTGAAGTTGGTGCTCGATAGATTTTTGGACTGATTCTTTTTTTGCGAGGTGTGTTCCTTGTGTGTTATATATGTATGTTTTAAATACCTATTTGAAATATCATGTGTGTATGACTATTTTATCTGATTTGCAATATCCCTAGATGATTTAATTTGATTTCGTATGATTTATCTATTTCAAGCCTGATTTTGATTTTCTGAAGTTTTTAAGCATGCTTGTCTTATTCATGTTCTCTGGTTATTGTTTTTACTGAATTGATATATGTCTAAAATTTGATTTCCCTGCTACTGTTATTTATTGTCTGAAACTATTTTCTTGGGGTTCCTCTGGGATTTGGTTTAAAGTCTCTACAAGTTTAGTACCGATCAAACTGGTAGTTCCTTACACAGGTTCAACTCCTATCAAGCTGGTAATTTCTTATGGACCTAAGGTGACCCTTGAGTGGGATCATGGGTTCAATGGGCCTGGTGGTAAGACCTTATAGACCCTAAGGTACTCCTTTAGGGTGGTTCTTTTACTTTGTGCATTAGGTAAGTCCTTATGGCCTGAGGGTACACCCCTCAGGTGGGCACCTACGCTTCGGCTAGGGTAAGACCTTATGGACTCAAGGTGCTCCCTTAGGTTGGCTCCTACGCCCTTTAGACCTAGGGTAAGTCCTTATGGATGCAATTCTAGGGAACTGCATATGGTGTACGGTTAGAAGGTTATTTTGTATTTTAAACTACTCTACTGTCGTTTTCATAACTTTGGTAATGAATCGATTTTGAAACTTGTATGTTTTTATTCTGCACTGTTGGAACCTTCATTTTCGGTGACATGTGGCCATATTTTGAAATACTTGTTTTACGACTTACACTTCATTTGCCACTAATGTTAGAATTACATTGATACTTATTTGTGGAGATTTTATATTACTCAGTCGTTTATGGTTTTATATACTTGAATTAGATCTTATCATTAATAATTATGGTTTTAAAGGTGTTTACTTATAATACGGATTTAAATTATCAAAAAATGTTTTGGAAATTTCTATTGTAATCCGCTAGATCTAGTCGTAACGCATAGGCTGGGTCTAGGGGGTTACACGACTCGACTCGAAAAAATAATTTTTTCGAATTTCAAGTTATTCAAGTTAACTCAAATTATCAATTCGGTTTCGAGTTCGAGTCAAGTTGAATTTTTGAAATTTCGAGTTATTCGAAAAAAACTGAAAATTTGACTAAGTATTTAGATAGTTTTACGATTTAGTCATTGATTTCATTATTCCTTCAATTTCTCATTCATTTTAAGTTATATTTTTACCAAATTTGAACCACATGCTCCTAAACCATTGTAGAATACATATGTACTTTCAATTTCTCTTTTTGATAACATATTTTCTATTTTTCAATTTAGTCTCTCAATTTTTCATAATTTTCTTATTTCTTCAATTCACCATGTATTTTAAGTTCGTTTTTCACCAAATTTGAACAACATGCGCATATGCCACTATATAATACCTATGTAACTTCAATTCTTATCTTTTACTAAAAATAGACTCTTTTTTATTTAGTCCCTTAACTTTGTATTTTACTCAATTTGATCTTTTGATTGCAATTGTTTGCCAATTCTTTATTACCATAAATCCTTGACTTATTTATACTCTCATCAATATTTTTACCCTCAAAATACTTTCTTTAAAATATAATATTATGAATATATTTTATAATTTTAGATTTTATTTGATATGTTAAATAATATTATAATGTGAAAAAATATGAAATATATGTCTTACATGGTTAGAGAAAGTCAAAAAATTAGAACAAATCCTTATCATAATACTATAAATAATTATAATAAAATTAGTATTGAAACTCGAATAGCTCGACTCAAATAACTTGACTCAAATTTCTTAAACTCGACTCGACTCGAAAAAATTTCAAGTTAAGTTCGAGTTATAAAATACGACTCGTCAACTCAAATAACTCAAAATATTTTTATTCGAATAGATCGAATGTTCCCCTCTACACCATACCATCATTTTCACGTTGCACTGTCTCAATAATATACAGTTTTTTTTTTTTTTTTTTTTGCTGAAGGCTACTTTTCTACGGCGCATTAAAAATTTTCCTTTTATATATGGTTTTACTAAAGTTTATATTTCCCTATTACTCTTGCAAAAATATCAAAGACGTGGCATTTAAAAAAAGGTAAAGTATATAAATGCTCCCCGACTATAAGGTTATATTTGTTGAGTCATCTGACTATTAAATGTTACAAAATGATCTTTTGAACACAATACATTGCTTTGTTGAGTCATCGGACTATTAAAAGTTAGAAAATGATCGTTCGACTATTCAAATGTTCCAAACTTGTCATTTTCTATAAAATAAATTGACAGCAATTTGAGCTGGATATTAACTTGGCGATTGTGATATGATAAAATATGATCACAAAATCTCAAACGACTATAATATCTTAGTCAAAGATGTTCAACTCGGATTGTCATCAAATGTTTAATGAAAATGGAGAAGTTTGGAACAGATGAATAGTTAGGTGATTATTTTGTTATTTTTAATAGCCGAGGGACTCAATAAAGAAATGGCCTATAGTTAAGAGACTATTTTGTAAGTTTTAATAGTCGAGGGGACTCAATAAATCAATGTCCTATAATTAAAGGACCATTTATGTAATTTACTCTTAAAAATTAATACAAATACAACATTATTTTAAAAAATTTTTAATAGAAATCAAGTGATTTTTTCTCTCTAAAAGTTCTGAGTTTGAGCAGCTATGTTTGTGAGATGTGTGTGTTATCAATTGATTAAAAAAGTTCTAACATACACTACCTTATCACCTCATATTATTTAAAATAATAATATTTGTACATTTTTTTATTTTAATTAATTTTATTTTTTTTATATTTTAAAAATTTGAAATTTCAATATTAACTTGAAATGTTATAGGAACCATACGATTAAATTTTGATTATGATTCAAATAATAGTCATTAAACTAATTAAAATTGATTTATTATTTGATGTAATAATTAAGTTATAAATTCTATTATTGTTCTCTAAATTAATTATTTTAAATTCTTATTTTTTAATCATATTATTATGTACCGTTTTAGACTAAACTACAATTTTAAATTAGAAAAATACAAGTTCAAATACTAAATTTAAAACTTATGCCTAATTCATTAATGCCTGAACTAATAAAGTTCAATGAATTAATCACCGACGATATGGATAATGCACGTTACAAACAAATATTAAAGGGTAAACTATAAAAGAAGTTATTAAATTTCAGATGTTATATCATTTATATTACTCAACTTTTAATTATCATAATTATAACATTGAATTTTAATTTTAGCTTCAATTATAACATTGGTTCATTAACGTGGATGACTATTGTCGACTATTAAAACTCCAATAGTATGAGACACTATCATTCACGTTACTATTGAGTTAAGGATTCAATAATATAATTGAAGTTAAAATTAAAGTTAATGCTATAATTTAAACAATTAAAACTCCAATAGTATGAGCAATACAACACCTAATTAAAGATTAATGGCATGTACTAACAATCAATTGGTCTAGTAGGATGAGATATTAAATTTTTTAAGTAAAGTCAGTAATTTAAACCTTGGCGTTTGCAAATTGAGCAACCTGGGTTGGGAGGGTCGCCCTCGCCTCTACAATATTTGATCTGGATTAATCGATTAACAGATCGGATAAGAGTGATTAATTAAAAAAATTCAATGGCATGTGATTTAGTATATCCAAATTATAAATAGCTAATGCAATTTACAAGGATCGTGCATCAAAATGAAATATTAATAAAAGGTTATCGATTTCTATTGTCTTCTCATATTGTTGTTTCGACATCCACCTTCTGTTGTTGGGAATGGCGGAGCAGCAGCAGCAACTAGAGCCATGGACGGACCTCAGCGGCAAAGTGGTCATGGTGACGGGAGCATCTTCCGGCTTAGGGCGTGAGTTTTGTCTTGACTTGGGCAAAGCCGGCTGCCGTATCGTGGCTGCCGCACGCCGCTTAGATCGCCTTAAATCCCTCTGTGATGATATCAATCGCCTCCACTTTACCGGACCTCAGTATAGTGGTCTTCGAGCAGTCGCCGTCGAGCTCGACATATCTGCTGACGGAGCCACCGTAGAGGGCTCTGTGAAAGCAGCTTGGGATGCCTTTGGGAGGATCGATGCTTTAATAAATAACGCTGGCATTAGAGGTATTCCATTTTTTTGATATTTCAAAATTCTTACGTTGGTTTAGTTAGATTTGTACGATCACACTTGTAGTAAAATTAGTAGGGTTTCAGTTGCCTCCTCCATTCTTCATTTTCAATAAAATAGAAAAGACACGAATCAAGTCACAGTAATTAAAGAAATGATTATTATCTTTAGTGATCTCGGATTTAATCACATCATTTGTAAATGTATTTGAGTATTTATTATTAAATGATTAATTGAGAGTATTAAATAAATATTACCTTATATCATCTCAGAATAATTAAAAATAGAATAAAAAAGAGAAGGTAAATAAAATAACCTTATATATATATATATTCAAGTAGGGATGTAAGATTTTATGTTAGAAGAGACAAACTTATAATATTTTAGTGGGGATAAAATAATAAAATTTTAGGGGGTGAAAACATATTATTGATAAAATAAAATACAAAGAAAATATTCAAAAATGTATAATAATTTAAAATTTTCAAGAGAGATGTCAACCCTACCAGCCCCCCTCAATCCATCCCTGGGCATACTAGTATGTATCAGTATTAGGGATGAGCAATAGACCCGAACTCGACAGTTTTCATTCTTACTCGACCCAACCCGACCCGATTGGGTCATTTTTAAAAAAAAAAAGATTGGGTTTGAATGGGGTCGAATTTTTTAGAGGACAAATTTGGGTCGGGTCCGAGTTTAGGGTGAAAAATACCTGACCCATAAAATAATATAATTATACCTTGTATATTTAGGGATAAGTGCAATAATACCCCTCTTTATATTATTTCTTTTCAATTAAGTCCCTATTTTTTTGAATAAAATTAATAATTTTATATTATTTTGGGTTAGGTATGGTCAGAGTCAGGTTTTATCTAAAAAGTTAAATCGGGTGAAATTACTCTAAACTCGAGTCAGGTCGAGTTTCGAGTGGAGGATATAAAATTTTCAGATCAAGTTAGGTTGGTTGGAAACGACCCCTAATCAATATACCAACTCCTCTAATCATGAGTTAGTAGCATATGCAAGTTTAGTAGGGTGGGTAAGTTCACATCCTGAAATATGAGTTTCTTTCTATTAATATTTTATTGACGAAAACCTTCTTAAAATTTTATTTATGCTCATAATTATAAATTTTAATCCAACAATATGTATTCACCTTAAAAATATTTATGAATACATCACTACATAGAATGGAGCGTGATAGTGGCTCACCTTAGCCTTGAACTATGTGATGGAGAGTTAATCTCTCACTTATAAGTATATAATCCATCATTTTATGTATAACGATTTATCTCTTAAGAGAGTATTTATGATGAATTAATTAATCGTTGTTTCCGATGATTGATAATTTAATTCAGACTAAAATTCAATTCATTAAGTGATTTTAGTGGTTAAAAAGTGTTGTTTTTCTTAGATATTTTGAATTCGAACAGTTACATCTACGTCTGATACGAATTGGCAGGTAAAGTGAGGGATCCATTGGAATTGTCGTCGGAGGAGTGGGATGAAAACATGAGAACTAATTTAAGAGGGTCATGGTTGGTATCAAAATATGTTGGGGCACACATGCGTGATGCAAATCAAGGAGGATCCATTATCAATATTTCTTCCATTGACGGTCTTAATCGTGGCAAAGTACCCGGAGGCTTGGCTTATGCTTCCTCCAAAGCTGGCCTAAACACGTTGACAATGGTACTTCTTTTACTAAACCTTTTTAGTTGTTTAACTACATTACTTTATGATCGGTAAATTATATATTCAGTCACTCATCTATTCACGTGATTCTGTTTTGGTCATCTAATTATTTTCTTGTTTAAAATTATATCCAGTGACGGAGCTCTGTTGGGGCCCCGACCCCTTAAATTTTTTATATTCGATAGATTTTCGTCTAATAGTATTTTGGTTCATGTAAAAATAAGTATTCAAATTTAAAATACAATAATTTTAAATTTAATAAGTGGGGGCCAAACTAAAGAAGGATAATCCAATGTTCTTAATTTGTTTTGGTCTAATAACAATTTAGGTCATTGTAAGTTTAAATATTAGACAAATTAGACATTTTCTTTTGAATTTTGAATTTAAATACCTAATAAGTCATTGTATTTTTCTTAAAAAATTCAATATTCCAGCCTATATCAATATTTAATCTTGGCTCCATCCCTAATTATATGTAATGTTACGTTTTGGTCCCATATCGTTAAAAAACTAAACAAAATTGCTAATGTGACAATTTCTTTACTTGTTAGAACCAAAACTTAATTGATATAAAATCAAGAACCCAAGATTTATCATACCAAATCATCAAGAATAAAATATTAATGCGGAAGCGTACCTAATTGATGAGTTGAATTTGAGTTTTTTTTTTTTTTTTTGATCTTCCAGGAATATATATTTTCTATTGACATAAAAAATTCTCTGACAGAGATAAGAGTAATACAAGTTAACCTATTTCTTAGGAATCACTACCTCTTTATATAGAATAAATATTAGGTCTTTTAAGTATTTATAATTCTACTCCTCATCAAATTATAAATACAACTTATGGTATCTACACTTTAATTTAATGACATGTAATATTAATTGATCACTTAATTTTGTATCATACTTTGTGATAATATTATATATGTTCGCTCATAATTATGGATTTTAATCTAACAAATACGTCAACAATTTTATTTATTTTTTTACTTTTTTACGACCTAAACACCTTGACAATGATACTTATTTTACCAGGTTTTTAGTTGTTTCACAACTATATCACTACATAATTGTTTCAACATGTTCTCCTGGGTTTTTTGTCTGTAAATTTATGCGATCGTTATGCAGACCATGGCCTTGGAAGTAGGGATGCATAGAATCCGAGTGAACTCGATATCACCTGGGCTTTTCGAATCGGAGATCACGAAAGACCTAATGAAGAAGGAATGGCTAACAAATGTGGTCAAGAAAGGGGTCCCTTTAAGAACACTTGGTACGGTAGATCCAGCACTGACATCGCTGATTAATGCTTAATCCATGATTCGTCGGAATACATAACCGGTAACATCTTCATCGTCGATTCCGGGCTACCTTGCCTGGTGTTCCCATATTTTCTTCACTTGAGGATCTATTAAATCTTTATAAATAAGGATGAAAGTGATGTCTTTCATCTTGTAATAACATTTGTGACCAGCAAACCACAGAAAATCAAAATATGTTTGCTGCCCTTTTCCTCTATTTTCTCAAAAATCATAATTGCTTTCCTATACCTCTCGTTATCGGCATATCTAAGAAGACTGTAAATGAGACGAGACAGATCATTAATTGCTATTACAAAAATATAAACATAAACATTGAGACTAAACTCTTCGTTGTGCAGACCATTAAGCAATTTGACTGCAACAAACTCTTTCCTCTTTTCCTAACATATTAATAATAACTAACATCTAAACTATTCAAGACCAACTCAAATTTCTAACCTTAACCCAATTATTTTTTAAAAATTACATCTAATATTACGCTTTGATTTCATTTTGACCACCTACCATTAAAATATTAATAAAATTGCTGACGTGATATTTTAAAAAAAAAGATCAATGATGATTAACATTATCTTATAGTGACACGTTAGCATCACTATTAAATTTTTAATGATAGATAACTAAAATGTAACGTTAGATATAATTTTGGAAAAAAAATAGTTGACAACCAAAATGGAACGAAAGTGATAGTTGAGGTACTAAACATGTAGTTTACCCATTTCCTTAGACAACCTAAACGCAAAATCATACTGTATTTTATGCACTGTGACAGCATAAACAAACATAAGTACATTGCAAAGGTAACTTGGTCACAGACACAAGATGCAATACAACATAAAACGTTTAAAAGAAAAGACATTCAGATGACAGATAAAAAGAGGCAAAAGGCTAATGTTTTCCTTATTAATAATAATGTTCATTTTCATTTTCACCATGTACTTTTCTTTTGCTTTGCCCCCCATCTAATGTCCTCAAATGTTAGTTAAAACAATGTACCATGTTTCCAGCAGCGGAGGTTGTGGCAGCTTCATTCATCTTGCCTTGGACTCCCCTCACCACCATCACCACCACCTTCGAGCTGAACCCAGACCTTGGTTTTGTTCCCCTCCGTTTCCCAGGTTTTTGCCTTACACTCCTGTTAATCGTATCATCACCATCAGAAAACTGTGCCCACACGCTTCGGCTCTTTCCCCCACCGCTAAATTCTTCCTCGCATCCTGCAACTGTCTTGAGTAGCTCTGACTGCAGCGACGGGCAGTTTTCTTTGAGATACTCAAAACCATCTGAGCGCATAACAGCTGCATTGAATAGAACAGTCAGAAACACAAGTTAGGATCCTCAGAGAAAAGTGTAATAATGAAAACATTGGGCTCTGCTCTTCATTCCAGGGGTTTCACTAATTTCAGGACCTCCAGAAGAGCGAAATACTTCATAAACAGAAGAGAACTCCCACAATAGATCATAACCAACATCTTTTTATTATCTAGAATACTTTATGCCGACCTAACCCACAGGCAGGGACAGGCTGGCTTAGGCTTGAAAAACACATCAAAAGCCTGACTTTAACAGGCAAGGCCAGCAGGCAGGCCGGAGCCCAGACAAAAAAAACTGGAAGTACGACCCATCTCAGAAATCAAGTTCATCCTAAATCTGAATGCTTAGCATCATCATCTCAATATATTTTCAGATTCGGGACACACAGACATGCCATGAAAGAGAAATATCATACTTTTTCCATGCTCATCATACATGTGAATGCTAAGCATTATCTTGAAAAATAAAAACTTCAAAATAAGTAGTTTATCATATACATGCCACCTGACATTAGCCAGAATATGGCAAAATCAAGCGTTTCTATGTAATGTAAAATTTGGAAAAGCAATAAAAGAACTGAAGATTTACCAACAAGATTTTCTGCAGCGAATTTTAAGCAAACAGCTTTTAGTTCCATAGCATGATGACGATCGGCGAGCGCTAAAACATTTGCAACTGAATTCACGGATATGTCCTTGCAGAGTACAGATTCACACATCAGTCTAAGTCTAGGCAAGTCATATTTGTCTGCTGCTGCCAACAACTTTGATGCTAATGCATCAGACACAGACGGAATAGAAGATGAACTAGTCCCAACAAACTCCTCGTCGTCAATCAGACTGTCTCTGTATATGAAGTGTAGCAAAGCCTGCCCAAATGCACATTGCAGAGAATGTCAGGAAAATAAGACAACCACACCAACAGTTAACTCTAATGCCCTATAAAGTGAGAGAACATAAATATAGCAGAATTACAACCAAATCCAAGGTAGGTGAAATGGGGTAGAAAATGCTACCTTAAAAACCCTGGGCTCCATATCTGTAACAAGTATTTCGTTGTCATCTACTTCCATCCGCTCAGAAAATTCAGCTTCAAATACAGGAGACCTAGCAGCTAACACCAGCTTGTGAGCATGAAACTTTTCTCCAAACACATTAAAAGTTATATCAGAACATTCTTCATTTTCCAATAACATGCCAAAATGGGAGCCAATATCAGACTCAGGGACCTGTATAGAGTGCAACCTTGGGCAGTCTATTTCTGAAACCACAACACCAACAGTGCAATTTATTTTTAAGCAGTCATCCTTGAGGAAATCAGATGTTTCGAGCATAGCCCGCCTGAAGAAGCGCTTGTATCCCCTGAAATTAAAGTAAGCATCGAAAGTAAAAATGAGTCACGTGTGAAAATTCAGACAAGCAATTGCATTCAAATTATATGCTTTAAATAAGATAGGAGAGGTAAAAAAACTGGTTCCGAAAGAAGCACTGATTGTTATGTAAACATTGAACTTTTGTTGTGTGTATATATGATAAAGGTAGTAAAATCCTGTCATGTACGGATATCACCCCAGAACTTTCTAGTCCATGTTTGTCCGATTTGTGCGTGTATTTGTGTACTTGTATCCTTTCTCAAAAAATATAAATATGGTAAATATAAATGTTACAAGAAACTGTCATATTTGAAAACCAGTAGAATGCTCATAAAATAGTAAATAAAAAATAGTATCATTATCCATAGTTGACTTTATAGTTAGATTTTTTAACAATAAATAACAAATTTTAGCGGTATAATAGAAAAAACATTAAGGCATAAACTCCTCGTAAGATATTACTAGTAATGTAAAACAATTATATGGTTAAGTTCCACGTTGCTCCAACTCTTCATTTGTGCTGAAGGACTTGTGGCGGACACATTCAGATATAAATAGGATAGCACAACCCTCTAAATAAGTGGAAATACTTAGAAAAAATGAGCAGACTTGTCAAACAGATGCATGAAGCCGGCATTAAACCCCAAGTCTGAGTACCACACAATATGCCTTAAAGTTGAAAATTTAACAAGAAAACATCAAAGGTGAATTAGGAGAAGAGATTCCCCACATGGTTGAAATCCAATGGTCACAAAATAACTTGGTGAGTAAAATCTATTGAGATTTCGTCTTGTGAAGAAACAATAAATGTTAACTTGAAGGAACCAAGTATTTAACTCAAGAAATATGCTAGTGGTGTGAGGATTAAAAAAAGGCAGAAATTGCTCCTCCTCTTTGACTTCCTCGCAACCAAGCTGACACAGAGAGATAGATATGGTAGTGAGACTCCAAAGAACTAATAAGGCATTGAGATAACTACTCCTTCCAGTTTCACGTATAGGCAAAGAGAGAGTACACGTGCAGAAAAAGTTATGGAAGCAAAACACCAGAAAGTGTATCTCATAAATGAAAGGATCTTCTGTAAGAATCTCCTTTCTCATTTGGTCTAAGAAGGTGACAAATAATCCCAATAAATGCATGCATCCCATGCAACCTGGTGTACCTATGAGTTGGTTAAGTATTTATCTGCACCACTAATTCTTCTACTATTTTATTCCTTTTGGTTGAACATTTCTTACTCATTATCCTATGTGTCTTATGATAGTTCTATTTCCTTAAACTTCACTATCTTTTTTTTATTTTTTTATCCCCCTCCGTAAAATGACATTAAGTCCACTTTAGTAAAATTAATTGCCGACCGAGAAGTTTTGACAAAATTTGCAAGTCGTGACTAAGAATAGACAGAATCTCTTCATTATTCTACAACTTAAGGCAGATGCTTATCTTAAGAATGTTACTGACAAATTTATGATGGAACTCTCACTCTAAAAAGTACCAGCAACTCAGAAAAAAGTTATATATCACACTTGGGTTTGCAATTACAAGTTTTACAGTTTCCATCAGTACAAATCGACGTACCTAACTACAACCTATTCTAATCAATCCCATCTATTAATCATTCCCATCTATTGATCATTCCTAATGTAACAATCCCAATTTCCAAATCATTAACGATTACCAGCTTTTTTCCAGTATTTATTTTTGTCATTTAAAAGAATTGCGCAAAATATTCATCACAAAGCTTTAAAAAAATTAACAACAATCACAAACTAATAAAGTATAAATTATCAAAATTATCTTTGATTTTGGTCGGTACAAAAAAAGGCATTACGGCTTGAACCCAAAATTTGAACTCACACCATCCCATCCTTCGCACTTGATCTAAGGCCAAGCAGAAAAATGATCATCAATTTTCAGTGCCTTAATCATACATTCTTCATCAAATCATCATTTCCCATCCACGCCTAATTCTTCAAAAGCATCAATATTTTTCATTTACCCCCTTTTTTTCTTAAACTTGTTTCCTTAACCCACTTCAAAATTTCTTCAAACCCAATACCAGAATAATCCCAAAAAAAACCTAAAACATAACTAAGAAGTTTAACACGAAATCAATCATTTCCTATTTTCTTCAATAACCTTTCTCCAACCCTAATTTCCCTAACATATTAAAAACTTCTACCAAAAAATTAAAAGAAGCAAAGGTCATGAAGGTTAAAGGACACCTAAAAGATAAACATTTAAGAACGAAGAAGCAATTTCCTTACCACATACTTCCCCTATACTTGAGCGTATAAGGGCCACTCTCAAGAGCTCGATCGAAATGGCTATGAACTTTATGTTTCCCCTTCCCACTCTGGTCCAAAAGAGTTAACTCGAAAAGGGCTCTAACATCCGTGCCTTCGCTAGCTAAAGCCACGAAA